CCAAGCTGTTTTTTGTTTTTAATTTTAATTTTAATTTCTGCAGATAGATAGATCTTACCGAGAAGATGTTTATGATCTCTTTCCTGGGACATTCCAAACCATTGAACTCTTTGCGGATCACCCAGGGACATGGCTGCTACACTGTCATGTGTCTGATCACATCCATGCTGGCATGGAGACAACCTACACAGTCCTCCGGAACATAGGTAGTGTTGCCTGTCAATGATGCCAGATAGATGGCACCAAGTTTCCTGTAGACCTAGAAAATAGGAGGCCTGAAGAAAACCCAGATAAGCCCCCAAGGAGCTTGAAGTCAAGTAAGAGAGACAGATATATAAATATGTAACCATAATGGAGTACGGTGTGTCATAAATGAGGGCACAGTACAGGCATCAGTGGCAGTAATAGGAGGGCTAACAGTTTAGGGGTGAGACCCAAGGTTTCTGAGACCAGGATGATCAAGATGGATGTCAGTGGGTGAGTGGGAGCTGGGAAGTGGGAGGAGTAGAATACATGTGCACTGGTATGAAGCTGCCCAGTGAGAATCCAAGAAAGATGGCAGATACTGGTGGGGTAAAGTCCTTGCTGGCAAAATGATATAACTTATATCACGAAAATAATCTCTTTCTCTTGCTCATAAAACAATCAACTTACTTTCCCTGTCCAGACAACAGGATTCCATACTCCACCAAGTCTCCTGGAGGGGCATCCCACCCGGCCACAGTGCCCTCCAACGGTAATGATATTCTCTCCTGCATCCTACATGTGAATGCCTCAGTGTTTCACTCCTCAGAGAGAGGCAGGTGCCTGACACCTCACTTTTCTTTTTTCACAGGTAGGGAGGAGCTGTATTTCTTTGGCAAGAATCTGGGTCCGAGAGGAGCCAAGGCTACTTTGGTCATCCTTTTCATCGTGGGACTCCTCCTCCTGGTTACCACCGTGATTCTCTCCCTCAGACTGCGCTCCGCAAGGAGGCAGAGGCCTTATCAGGAAGTCCAGTCTTGTGCGCTCCCCACGGATGCTTTGTGAATCATTTGGTCTTCCTCAGCAGGAATAGATGAGGTTCCACAGCTGGCTGGATGGCGGTCAACAGGGAAACTGGACCAAGGCATTGTTCACCAAGGAAGGCTGACAACTGAGTCCTGTGTCAGGCTTCGGATCCTCTGGAACATTATCCAAAGCAATCTGCTTTTATTTATTTATTTCTAAATGGGCTGTGAATAATCCTCAGGTATAAAATTGCCAAAAAAGGAGAATATGTGGGACCAAGGAAAGCCAACACTTAGTCTGTTCTCTGAACAAATTTGCTGAAGTGGGAGACTCTGTGAAAGATATTTTCATATTCCATCTTTAATAATTTTTAGATTAAGCAGTGCTTCCTTGGTTAATTGCCAAAGTTTCTAGACAAATAACTTCTAGAAAAGCTATAGTGCCTTAGACATTTTTCTAACTGGAATAGCACTGATTTTTCAACACTGTTACATAAGATGCATCCCTTAGTTGTCACAGGGAAAACAAGTTTCTAAGGAGTTCATGGAAGTGTCTAAGTTAGTATCTGCCGATAGAATTTTTTGGAGTCTCAATTCTCCTGGCCTTTCTCCCCTTAATATAAATAACCTGTGCGTTGTTTGCTAGACAAGGCAAAGTGATAAGGTTTTTTTTTTTTTAATTGCTGCTGTTTTATGCAAACCTGTAGAAATACTTGAATGTTTACAATTCACTTCATTTTATATGTTTTTACAATATGTTTCCCTGGCAATGTCTGCATTTTTAAAAATCAACTAGAGAATTTCTATTTCTGTTCCAGACTGCAGGAAGGCTGGAATCTGTGAAGGAGCAGGCTGGGTTTTCTCACTGTGAGTCAGAGTTTAGTGTGAGCTTTCAGCAACAGGGAGAACTTCAAGTCTGGGCTTGAATCTTCAGTCTCATCTTTTCATTCAGTTAGGGGGGGCTCTTCCCAGGTCTCCATCTTCTATGAAAGAAGAACATCCTCAGTATTTGAGAAGCACCAGGAGGAATTCATCAATGCAGCTTAGTGGTTGGGAGAAGAGATCATTCAAAATCCTAGACAGGTTGCCTCTTCAACATATAGTCCTTGAGAGGAGGGAGGAGAAAAAAGGAAAAGGAAAGGTGAGAAAAAGAGTCTCAGTGGCAGTTTTTTAAACCATTAAGTTAGCTTTGAAGATAATTTTACAGTTTTCAAGGCTCACATACAAAAATAAAATTTTGAGCAACTAAACTCAGCCCATTATGAGGCAATCCACCCTTTCTGAAGGCATGCCTGGACATTAGGTATAAGATTGATAAAAGCAAGTTGTTTATTGCTAGACTGAGAAATTGCCCTTAGCTCAGGGCAAGCTGCCCTGGGATGCCAATGCCAAATGAGTGATACTAGAACATCTGCCTTAGCAGTGGATCCTTGAATATCCAGGTGAACGAGTAGGACTAATAAATACTCTGGTGGTGGGACCTTTCACACTTTCTCAACTTCATCTTGGTGAGGGGAAATGGGTAATTTGATAGAAGCTATAGTCTTACATAAGACAGGATGCAAATGGTAAAAATTCTGTTTGTAGTTTACTTGAATGCCACATCAACACAGTATCCACAAGATTTTGAATTCCAGCCTACCAATGTGATTTTGTAGTATATGCACTACGGTTTTCATATGTGTGTAGGCTGTGTAATCACATAATAATAATTATGATAAATGCCTTATTTATTGCTTACCTTTCATAAAACAACAAATTATTTAGTTTTTTTCCTTTTCACTTAGTTGATTTTTTAAATGAGTTTGCACTATTTCTCTTTTTAATAAAGTTTCACATATCATAAAATGGCCAGTTGCATGGTTTTTTTTTTTCCATTCAAAATTACCTTTTGTTAAACTGGGAGGAGGAGAGGTTAAAAGAAAATTATCCTTTAGATATTTAAGGAGTTCTGACTAATTAATTTTTGGTACTGGGGGTTTAATCCAGGGGCACCTAACCACTGAGTCACATCCCCAACCCTTTTTAATATTTTATTTAGAAACACCATCTTGCTAAGTTGCATAGGGCCTCACTAAGTTTCTAAGGTTGGCTTTGAACAAAAGATCCTCCTGCCTCAGCCTCTCAAGTTGCTGGGATTCTAGGCATGTGCCACTGGGCCAGGCTGTGATTATTCTGAAGAAGAAAAAATAGAAAGCAATGAAAGCTTTTATACAGTGCTCATCAGTTGCCCGGCACGGTGATGGCATTTTACATGTGTTAACTCACTAGATCCTTGCCATAATCACAAGAGGTACGTATAACCATGTTACACATGAGAAAGTGGAGTCACAGGAGGGTCAAGTAACTTCCTCCAAGACCCACAGCTAGTAACCTGTAGTGACAGTATGACAAAGGGACCTAACCTAGTGCAGTCTACCCAGGAAGGCTTTTCTGGGCAAGTGACACTGAGCTGAGAACAGGAGTTGTGAGAGTGTGACAGGCAAAGTTGCCACTATGGGTAGAGCTTTGGACTGGGGAAGGCCTGAAGAAGGCCAAGCAAGGGGACTAAATAACTTGAACTGAAAGAGGAGGAGTGAAAATAGTGGATAGGTAGTGAGTGGTCATGGTAAGGAATTTGAAAAGAAGAAAAAATTTTAAAGTACTAAGGATTGAACCCAGAGCCTCCCACATGCTAGGCAAGCTGTCTACCACTGGGCTATATCCCCAATCTTTTATTGTATTTTTATTCATTTATTTTTGAGATTGGGACTTGCTAAATTGCCCAGGCTGGCCTAGAACTTGGGATCCTCCTGTCTCAGTTTCTGGAGTAGCTGGAATTACAGACATGAGTCAGCACACCAGGCAGAATTTTGGATTTTAACCTAAAAGAAAATGTACTTTTAAGTAGAGGAGTAATATGATGAGATTAGAGCTTTAAAAATCTCCGTTTGGCAGCTGTGGAGGAGAATGGCTTGGTGGGTCTGGGGAGACATTTTTGTATGTAGTTAGGAAAAAGGATGATGGGCTGAATTGGGTGTTCCATTCAGGTGGAGAGCTGTCAGATTTACTATATTTAGAGAAGCAAGAGAATTTGGAAATCAGTTGTGGCAGCTGGGAGAGGTAGATGAGTTAAAGATGTCAATCCAGGTTTCTGCTTGGGCACATCAGTGGATGGTGGTGCATTTAATAAGGTGGGGAAGAGTTCAGGTTTAAGGAGACATTATGATTGAAGTCCTGTAAGCAACCCAGCTGAAGGATTGTGTAGTCCCTTGCATGTGTGTTTAGAGGACACCAGGGTGGAGAGGAACATGTGAGAGTTTTGAGGCTTACATTCATGGATGTTCGAGTACACAAAGAACAGAGAAGGCAGATGAGCTTCATCTCAAGGATCTCTCAGGTTTAAAAGCCCTGCCTGGTCCCAGTGTTGGTGGTCAGAGTATTTCCTTCCTTCTTTCTCATCATCCACTCCCTGTTAGGGGTTCAGAAGCAGCTTTATGTAGCCCCCACGCACCAGTAGACACTTCTCTGCTGGCTCCCAGACTGCGGCTATGACTTGGAAGGCAAAGGATACAGGCTAACCCTGGTCTAAGACACAGTCACACAGCGCTTACTCTCAATTCAGGTCTCCCTCTCAAGCAGAGCTCCTGGAAGGGTCCAGCGCCGGGTCGTTCGATTTGCCTTATTTTGGCATCGTTGTATGATGAAGTTGTTACAGTCCCCTTTAACCTGATTTCACCGTGTAGACATGTTGGGGATGGAGCACAAAAGGGGGCTACCTGTGCTCAAAGGAAGGGGCCGCTTGCAGAAATGATTTGAAAAATCTCAAATGCCAGGAAGTGGATGGAAGGGAGGGAGATTTTTCCAGAGGGGCCACTACGGGGGATGAACCCTTTGCTTATTCCCCAGGACTCTGGCAGGGGGCGGGATGCAGCCGCGCCCACTCCGCTGCGCGTCAGCGCGTCTTCCGGAAACTCCAGGCCCCAGGGTACTCGGTTTCCCTCTAGGTTCCGGAAGAGCCGGCGCCGCGGGCTGAGGGCGCAGGGCCTCCGGGAGGCAGCTTTGGCGGCTGGGGCGCGCGGAGGGGCGGGGAAGTGAGGGAAGTGCTTTGTTCCCGAGTTGGTTGTAGTGCCTGCGGGCGGCGTGCGCGAGTGGCGCGGAGCCCGGGTGTCGCCCGCCCCCGGGGAGAAGCGCAGGCTGAGCGCGCGGGGGCGGGACTGCAGCACCTGGGAGAGCTTTGGATCCAGACCCCCTGGCCGCAGAGGTGCCTGGCCAGGCGCTGATCCCAGGCAACTGTGGCTCCTGCAGGATCGCTGGGAGCCAGACACATCAAGGCACAAAGGCTGGAAGGATGCGGGAGCCAGCAAAGGGAAAGCGAAAGCCGCCCACCAGGCCGGTGACGGGGTGAAGGCGTCGTGCTGCCCTCCAGACGCCGCCGGTACCGGGACCTGCCCCAGTTAGCCTGCTTGGACAAACCTAGCGCGCCGTAGCCATGGCTATTGCCCATCTGGCCACGGAGTACGTGTTCTCAGACTTCTTGCTGAAGGAGCCCACCGAGCCCAAGTTTAAGGGGCTACGGCTGGAGCTGGCGGTGGACAAGATGGTCACATGCATAGCTGTGGGGCTGCCGCTGCTGCTTATCTCTCTGGCCTTCGCGCAGGAGATCTCGATCGGTAAGGCCCCTGGACGGGAGAGGCGGCCCCAGGCTGGGCCGACGTTATCTAGGTCTGCCCGGGTCTGGTGAGATGTGATTTAATTTCACAACCGCCTGAATCTCAGCAGGCCTCTGGAACAGCTTCTATTATCAATGGACGTGAAAGTTGGGAATAAAGGTGGCCCTAGTTTTATGGTCCGAAGCGTTCTTTGCCCGCGTGCATTTTTATCCGCCTTGACCCTGTTTGCATCCCCACTGATCGGACTGTGGCATCCTTTTGACTGAGGCCCTTGCCACCAGATTTGCCCCAGGACAACTGTTTCCCCCTTTTAAACCTCTCCCCTCAGTATTTGTTAAGTCACCTGTAATTTTGTGCCAGAGAGGTTCCTGAGTGGCCAAAAGTAGGATGTGAAGACAAGTGTTTCATGAAAAGCCTGTTCTCCTTTTTATTGTTTTACATTTAATTGATACTTATTTTAGTTCTGTAGAGTTGTGAATGATGGAAAATACTGCACTAGGCAGGTGTTAGATCCTTCACTTGGAGGGCCTTCATATATAGAGAGCGAGATGAACAAATGCCCCTTATGTCAATTCTCATTTTGTCTTAACAGTCCTATGAGATTCAAAAGTCTGGAAGTTTGGACAAGGTCACCTGAGTGACTGGTCTTCCTTGGCAGCTGTCCTAACTTTCAGCACAGAAGAGATTGTCAATGAATCAACTGGGAAGTAGTGTAGGAGGGCTAAAGACTGTTCTAGGGGTGGTCTGGAGGACAGTGGGGCTGGACCTTGTGGAAAATTTATGTCAGAGGATGGATGAAATTTGTATAAGCAGAGGTGAGACTGTTGCAAAGTTTTGAAATGGCAGAGCATGTTACATGTTCCTGGAAGGGATACAGCAACTGTCCTAGCCAAGGCAGGAGGATTAGTCTGAGTTCCTGGAATCTCAGAGTGAGGATGGGCTTGTGTCAGATTGTAACAGAAGAGCACAGACTGACAGTCTCAGGAGTGGGAAGTATTGAGCAGAGGACCGACTGGTTGAAAATAGCACTTAATAAACAATAGCCTGATGATGGTATGCAGGATCTGGATGTGAAGAAGGAGAGAGGTTGGAGTTAGGAAGGTCAGATGCCTTATGGTGAAGCTTCAGTTGAGGTCTTGTGCATGGATGTTTGAAGAGTGGAAGGGAAAGGAAGTGTTACTTCTGAGAGATCAAGGGACAGTAAGAAGTACTTGGGAACCTGGATTTTTAATAGGCCAGGAAGGGCAGAGACTTGTTCAGCTTGTTGTAGGTCTGGATAAATGGATGTGTTGTTCATAGAAGTAGTGAAGTTGAAGCAGGTGTTTAGAGAAAAGGTGGTAATGAGTTTAATTTTGTGATCTGCAGCACTAAGTTGTTTAGTTTGGCAGGAAGTTGCCAAATGTCATGTTGAAATTAAGTTTTTAGTTTTACTAGTCTTTGGGCTGGGCATAGTTAGTCTTCGGGGTTTCCTTTTGCCTTCTAGATGACAGGGAATTTAGCCTAAAGGAAAACCACTAAGTTGCATGGGTCTTGAAGATAATTTCTCCATTTAGTGACTGCTCCTTGAGTGCCAGCTGTGTGCTGAACCAAATGCCAGAGACCAAGGTCCCTGGAATAAATGAGGCATGGTCCGAGTGCTGAAGAAGTAAGTCTTGGGCCCCTCGTCTGGGCAGAGTCAGGAGGGAGATCTTGGTCACTCTGACCAAATCTACCTTCAGCTCTAGTCCCATCTACTAGAGGAACTCTTAAGACATCTGTGCCAGAAGTGCATTAGATACTTCCAAATTCCAAAGAAATGGCTTGTCTGAGAGGCATTTGCAAGGAGGTTGGGAATGGGTTTACCCAGCAAGGGTTTAAGCTCATGCTGTGTGCATAGCACTGCTGTGCTTTGAGGAGGATATGAAAGGATTTTTGAGACAGGGTCCTTTCCCTGTTTTGTGGATATTTATAAACCCCCTGGGCACTAGAATGAAGCTGCTATTAAGTAACATCATTCAGCAGTGTGTGGTTCAGTAACAAGACAAGTATTGAACTCAGGTCCCAAAGAGTGAAGGTTGGCAGGTAGTTTGGTATAGAACTTTCAAGCAAATTCCCATATCTTCTAAAGTGCTTCAGGAATTGCAAGGGAAGGACAGGCATGTGGGATGCAGCCAACAGGATCAGGGAAGTCGTATCAGATATATCTGAGTGTTCATGTACATAAAATGATGAGGGCTTTAGAGAAAAGGTACATAAATTAATATGTGAAATTGGTACATTGGGATCATGTCATGCAATATTTAGTTTTGTGCAGTGTAGCTGTATTCAGACAAGAACAAAACAAAGAAACAAAAGAGAACAATCACAACAATACAGAGTGGAGTAATTTAAATGGAGCAAGCACTTTGCCCACCACATTTGGTCCACGAGCACAGGCCTAGAAGAAGCATGAGATAGCCCCTGCAAACTCCAAACATGGCTTTGCCTTTCCGCTCCTAATAATCATTCCTTCCCTCTTGGGTGTCGAAGACACTCTCATTGATACACTTTACACTTTACATTATACATCACCGTGTGGCTGCCTCCCCTACAAGATACTTAATCTTCTATTGATCCTTAGAACCTGGTGTCCTACATTGCACATGGAAGTCACTTCACAAACACTGGTGAGAGAGTGAAAGGTGAGAGCTTTTAGCATTGTTAACTGTTAATTGTTAGCCAGGTGTGCATGGTGTTGTTCCTTGATATTGGCAGGGTTAGACACATGAGATATAGAATCTGCCTCTCAGAAGCATCATCTAGCAGAGCAGTTGGACATGGAACCCTCCTAATACAAGATTCGTGGGATGTGGGAAATGTCAGGTGTATACTAAAGCCTATGCAGTGGGAGGGCAGAAGGAGGGGTTTCTGATGACTCACAGGAACAGTGAGGTATTCAGGGCAGAGAAGAGTTTGAGTTGAGTTCTGAGGCTGGATTCCAAATATATGGAGCAGTGTGAGCTAAAGCAAGGAGGTGTAAGGTGGCTTGAGCTTGAGAGAATTAGTCTCACCTTAGGTGGGAGGTGAAACTAGTGTATGGCTGCTCTATGTGAAAGGGGGTACAGAAATGTTCCTTGTTTTCTTCTTTGCATTGGGGTGTGTACAAAATTAGAAATGAGAAGATCATCTTTAATGATTCATGTCAGTTTTCCTTTTGTATTGATAAACTACTGCATATAGTAGTAAATTGATTGTGATTAAAAGCACTGCTCTCCACGGCTCTGGCCCTTTTACCTCTATAGCTCACATGGGCCCAGCATGGTGGGTGCTGCCATGGGGCTGCCTGAGAGGTGAGGATTACAGCAGGGACAGAGAGCAGAGGGGACTTTGCTTATTCATTCACTAAATCTTGCTCTCCTGTGAGTTGTAGGTCATCACAGAAGTGATGTGGTTCAGAGGGGCAGAGTGGAGTTGGTGCCACCGTCAAGGTGGAGGGAACTTCTGGTAGCTTTTGAAGCAGCCTGGGGCCATGGCCACTCATTGGTCTTGCTATGCCCTTTGATGGTAAGAATTGGAAGCAGAAACACTCTGGAGGAAGTGGCTAGGAGACTCTTAACTTCTGAGTTGTGGCTTGTGTTTTGAAGCCTATGGGACAGTGGAATACTAACTGTTGAGTTGCATTTAATAACACAAGTAGGCACTTGCTTTGCAAGGCCTGATATTTCTACTTTGCCTTTCCAAAATTCTATGCAAGATCCAGTTGGGGGTGTGTGTGGCAGAGGGTGGAGGGGATTTCATCACACATAACTGGCATACCACAGAAGACAATTTAAATTCAGTTGTGACTCTGGACTAGGGAGAAATGAGAGTTTGCATTTCCCAACCCTCTCCTTTTTCTCCTCTCACCCTGCATTGCATCTTGCATGCGGCAAGATGAATTCAGTAGAAACTTAGTGCTGAGATACCAGAGCACATTAGAGATCCATCCTGGGTCCTTCCTGGAAGAACAGCTGGGCTGAGGGAAAGGAGGGGATGTATATCCTCCTAAAGTCTCAGTTGCTTGGAAGTGCTCCCACTTCATGTCCTTTGGTAATACCATTCTGTCCTGTGTCAGGCCAGGCATGCTTCCTCATAGACATTTGCATCTGATAAGGATCATAAAGGATGAATGTCATTATGGGAGGGAGGTAAGTTGCACCATTGGATCTAGAAGCTTAGATTATATGGCCCATCCCCTTTTGTGTTATTTTTGTGACAAGGGAGGGATCTGTGTGCAAAATGCTAGAGGATTGCACTGTGGAAGAAGGAAGGGTGTCATTCTGTGTGGCACAGACACCACACACCTGCCACACATCTGTAATTGTTGTGGAGACTGCAGGAGGCAAAGTTATACCATCGGCATGCCCCCTCAAATACCTCTAGAAGTGTAGCACATTTTACCCATGGAGAGCGGGAAAAGAGGTCCAGGAAATAGCTGGGTGACCACTTGTTGTAGAATATGAGCATGATTGTATTAAGTGGCCTTCGAACTCTGAAATTCTAGAGGAATATATCTAAACTATTAAAGAAATGAACTCTCTTAAGTTTGCTACTATTCTGGCCTAAATGTTTGCTAAAGCCCTAACCCCCAGTGTGATGATATTTGGAGATGGGGCCCTCAGGAAGTAATTAAATTTAGAAGAGGTCATGAGAATGGATCCCCCTGATGGGTTTAGTGCCCTAATAAGAAGAGGACAGATCTGTCCACAAGTGTGACTGATAGGAAAGGCTTATGAGCACAAGCAAGAAGTTAGTCCTCTACAAACAAGGAAGAGAGCTCTGACCAGACACAGTTTCTGCTGGGACCTTGATCTGGTACTCCAGATCTTAGACTCCAGAACTGTGAGAAAATAAATGTGTGTTGTTTGAACTACCCAGTCTGTGATATTTTGTCATTGCAGCTGGAGCAGACTAAGACAAAATTTTCAGACTCTGAATGGGACTTACGTTCTTGGGTCTTCTGACAAATAGAATCTATAGTGCTCTGGTTTAGGGCTGTGCAA